AATAAAATATGTACAACCTGATAAGTTATTCTTAGAATCCATGAGTGAAAGCAAATAATATGTTACAATATGTCAGCCACACTAAATATGCTATATCCAGTGCCACCGAGGCCCTTTGCCCAACACCAGGGGCCATCAGGCTGGATGGGATACAACAGACAAAACAGTATTCTGAAACATACCTCTGCTCACACTGTCCATCTAGGCATTAGTTTGAATCTTACCTCACTTGCTCCAGCCTTTATACCCCATTATATTGCCCAAAGGAAGTTAAATCTTGTGATTCTCTCCATCTACATCAATGTGCCCCCTATCTCAGATCCGTATATAAGCTCCCCATTATTACTTCGTATTCACTTTTCTTGACAGCAGAACGTTACGAAGACAGTTTTACATGCTTGCTGCAGGTTTCTCTTCAGTGTAGAATGGCTTTAATTATACCTGTGCTTTAGACTATGCCTTTTTTTTTAGACCTGTCTTCTTGTTGTCTATTTTCTTTATTTTACAAAATAACGAAAATGACATTTTGAAGTCATAGTATTTCAAAGTGATTTCAGTAATATTTTGTGTTTATTTCTCTTCTTTTTCAGGGACCTTATTATAATTTTCATGTGGATTCCGCTCAGTCGCAGGTGTTGCCTGGTCATGTATGCTCTCTTCCAAATTCACACTAGCTACCAGTCGACTGATAAAAAAATTCCTGGTAGCAAGGAGCTCTGTTGGGATGGGGTGTTCCTTATGACCACCTTGTGCTCTTTCTAGGTGGTAAATAGTTACAACACAAAGACAAATACACTACTGGACTGCCACTCATGGACTATCTTAAGTAAAGCTTAAGGGGATTTTGCCCATCCCTGCCGACTCCTAGATTGAATAAATAGGGGTCGATTTGCTTTTCAAAATAGGGAACGTGGTTCCCCTATTGCTATTGCACTGTCTCTGGGGCATTGTTCCTAGGACTCCCCAGTGCGAGTATCCTCCCATTTCTTCTAACCACTCCCAGTTTCTGGTCGCTGGAGTGATGGACAGAGGTTTATGGTTGTGAGTGATGTACTGAACTCATTATTCCACTCAAGGAGAAGAGGACAAAGCTGGTTGCCCTTCTACCAATAACCCTGGATGGTTTTCCCAGATGTATGATAGGAGCAGGACCAGCCTATGTAATTCTGGTTCAGAGATGACTCTTCTCTATCCACTTGAGTTGAGTGTGGTCCGTCTTTTTGGTCATTCTTTTCATTTTGATGATCATGGAAGAGGGTCCTCGACTCCTCGTAATTCTTCACACAGAGCATTAATTCCTGTGCTATTGGTTGGATTTAGTTTGTTCCACCTTTTCCTCATAATTCAGGGGCAGGAGATGTCGCCCTGCCTCTCAGGTTGGGGGGGTTAGGATTTTGGTTTGTAATCCCAGGTCGGGTAATCTCTGTTTTTTTTCAAGTTGAGTGAAGCGTGACAGGTCCTGTAATTCTGAGTTCAGTTTGTTGCATTTTGCACTTCTTCAGGTTGGGGAGAGGGTTTGTTCACTTTTGTATTGCTTGCCTTCTCTTCGAAATTCCAGTAGCTCACTATGCAACATTCTGTAACCTTCAGGTTGGGTTCCAACAATAACACATTAATAAACAATACCAAATACAAAGCAGTCCTCATGCCCTAACCATTATGCCTTTGATCTAGATTTGGGTCCACAACCGTATAGTTCCAATGATGAGACGTGGGGCTCGTCTGCTTGGTTGGGGCCTGGACATATTCATGTTCTTTTAATGATGTTAGGATTTTGCCTCTGTGGCTGGTCAGCCTTTACCTCCCAGGAAATAGATTTCATGTTTTATGGGTGAAGAGCATACGTATTCCAGAAGTAGTGCGGACTCCACTAGTGTGCTATTACTATATCCTATTTTGTCACACCTCTTTTCTGTGTGGATCTTGCCTCACCAGCCCCTCCACCTTTTCATTGTGGGATTCTAGCTAAAGTGTGAAGAGGTAAGTGTGTTTTGGAAGTTAACATTTTCCTACACTGAAAATGTATTTCCAGTAATACTTACTTCCTTTCACACTCTCCTGCCCTTCCTCCCCACAGAATGGCCAGTTTCGTATCTGCTAATTGGGCCATCTCAAAGTTAGTAGGAAGTAATAACAGAGAGCTTATATACAAATCTGAAATAGGGGCACATTGACATAAGTAGAGAGAATCACAAGATTTAACTTGCTTTGGGCAATATAGTGAACAACAGCTCATAGAGTGTGAATCAGATTAAGTGACTGAATTGTGATTATTATCAATTTTATTTTAAGTCAGTTACAAATCAGATTTCTAGTTAATTAATAACCCCACATTATTTATTCTATTTATTTTTCATAATTATTTTATTTGAATTAAATGACATCATGCTGCCACTGAAAGCAAACTCATCATGAAATATTTTGATTTTAGGAAAACTGGATGATTAAATATTTGAATAGTATTCTGCTATTGTTACAAGAGATTCTTAAATAAAAGTATATAACATTTTTACATGAGTTTGGATCAATATTTTATAAACCAGTAAAAATACATGGTTAGTCAGTTTTTGTTTACATTTATGTGTTGTGTGAATATTATTGCTAAACCATTTGCAAGCATTAGTGTGTGTGGAAAAAGAAACAAGTACAGTGAAGGATCAAGCTAAATGGCTTTATCAAGACAGTTATTATTTATTATATCATTTGTTTCAAAGTGTTAACTGCTATAAAATTAAGATTGAAAGTTTTTTATAGTTTAAAATTTTGTAAAGAAGGATTGATAAATATTTGAATGGCTTTGAGTGTTTTATTTTTAAGTTTAGTTTAGTGAATGGGACGATCTAGATGGACCAACAGATCCATTGTTGTCCTTAAATTGTATGTATATAAACAAAGCTAATAGGGATTTTCTAGTTACCAGTATTGAAATGGAGGACTGTGTAAGAATCTTTGTGTGGGTTTGCATATGAAGATTACACAACAGTTATGTTAATTTTAACATTTGTGCAAAAGAGTGTAAAAACATCTCATTGGCCTCTGATGATGTCTTAAAAAACTTTTCAGTCAACAACAACACCAAAAAAAACTGTTGCATATAAAAAACAAATAAAAATAAGGTACAAATAACTGTGTAGAAAGAAGAGGTATCTTTGTCCTTCTTGGAAGATAGACCCACACAGTGGTAGGGATACACATTAGATTTAACCATCTTCAATGTTCTTACAAGCTTCACATGTAAAAAAAAAATGTAGATATAGGTGCTCAAGCTCACAATGTAGGACATATAAAACTACTATTCACTGTGCAGCTAGTTGTTAGAAAGTAGAGTGTAATTGTTCTTAATCAAACAGAATTATGAAAAGTAAAACAGGTTAATACAACCAAATCATATGCAGTGACAAATGAAACTTCTTTGTAGTGGCATTTTAGCCCACATAATGATCATACACCTATATGAACAGTTCGGCCATATTCACCACTGGTGATTGTTAACTATGTTTAGCAACTCAATTTTGCCAGTTCATTGCCTTACTAATGATTCATGTACAATACTGCTTGTAAGTGCAAGACTCCTTAAAACCTCAGTTTAGTTGAACAACTGTTTTGCAGCCACTTTCATAGATTAGACACACATTGGAAACCTAGATCAAACTACATCAATTTGCTTGAACGGGTCATTGGCGAAGTGCCCCTAGAAACATTGATTGAGTAATAAATGTTTAATTCTTAGCTTTACTAAGTGAGATTAGCTGATTAGAATGAAACAATCTCAGAAAACTTCTCAAATTTCCAAACATTATGTTTAAAGGTAGTGGTTATTATAAATAAACTAATGAACATTTTTATTATAGTTTTAAAATTGGATAATTCAGCTGTTACATTGATAAGTGGATGAAGTTTTGGTACTAGACACATAGATATTTCAGTTCATTTATCTCAATTAATCATGTACTTTAACAGCACAATGATCATAGTTGGTGATTCAGTCGGTTTTTATTGCTATGTTATTTAGAATCTGGATGCTAAATTCCATTTCTTATTCATTTCATACGGTGTTTATCAGACTTTTTCCCCCAAAGGATAGATTAGCAAAATACCACACACCACTAATTGTGGCATTCATAACAACATGAAAATTAAGTCTTTCTCCCCTCCCCACACACACAAACATATGAAAAGCAGATAGTTGTAAATAAAATGGTTTACCATTGTATTATAACCTGGTCATTGCATTGAAAGTATTATTTTTTAATTAATTTATTGTAAATGTTTATATTTAAAGTAGTCTATAGAAAAGCTGAGTTTTTTTGCAGGACACTACCAGCTCACATGAAGAAATAATAATGTAATATTATCACCTGCATTTCACAGTTGTTACTTGTTGTTGTTTTTTTTCTATTTTTATAACTTTGTTTCAGTTAGAACAATTAGCTTCCCATAAATGGCTGTAGACAGTGAATAGTAGTTTCATATGTGAAACATTGTGGGCTTAAGCACGTGTATCATTTGTTTGTTTTTAAACATTTGGGGCTTGCAAACAGAGGCTAAAACTGATAGATGGTACATCTCAACCATTATGTGGGTCCTGTTTCCTCAGTTATATATCTTACCAAGGTATATTTTACCATTCCCAAATTTGAGTTTATATTTTTTAGTTTTAGCCTTGATGTCTATAAAGTTGTTTTATATGGATAAGTATGTGTGTGAAAGAGACATGCATTGTGATGAATCTCCTCTAGTTGCTTTCCCCATTTAACACATGGTCATCAACCATACACAAAATCGGCTTAGACTGGGTGGTTGTGACACAAACTGAACCACTGAGACAACAATTTTATTTGCATTCTGGAGCTGTTTGTCTTTTACTTCAGTAATACTAATTTGACACTTGTTCACATCAAATGTGATTGTGTGTGAATGCTTCTTTGATGTGTTTTCTGTGGTTCTGATGTGTATGTAACTTTGAAAATAAAATTAATTTATTATTTTTTCTTTAATAGGTCTTCCAAGTATCAACACACCCTTCACATATGGCTCCTGTAAGTAAGACATTTTCCAAGTTATCAAATTACAAAACTTCAGACGATAATAAAATATTACTAAGTGCATATGGAGGTTTATATCAATTATTGGTTTTGGTATTTCATTTAAAAGAGTTTATGAGTGAGACTTGTGACTTCTGTAGACAATATAGTGAACAGTTTTGTGAAAATAAAATCTTGGGGAGTATTTCTTTTGGAATAAGAGCTATCGAGAGGGTTATTTGCCATCTACAGGTTTTATTCTTTCCTTTTTTGCTGATCAGATCTTTTTGAGATTCTTTGTACATCAATATTGTCATAATTGGATCTTTTTTGAGGGTCTTATGTATTTTTTTTTTTGAACAACCAATACAACCTTCTAGATAACCTCTGATACAGGTCAGGTTGTCCGTCCAACCCTTTGCTGGTCCTGGCTTCTTGTTCTTTATCCATTCGCAGTTGAGTTATTACTCGAAGGCATTTCTGAGGATTACAGAGTCAGTGACTCTGAGTCAGGCTTTTCCATTTTTTCCTTATGTGGACAACATTTACAATGAGTCATACAGGTTCTTTCTGAGGGTCTGGCCCTTCACTTCCATTCCCCCTTCCCATTCCTATTGCTTTCCCCTCACCAAGGGATCCTGTTTCTTCGCCAGCATCTACAGGAGGTGACTCGGGATTTGCTACAGAAATAGGCCATGGAACTTTGGGAACCTTCTCAGCTGGGGTTTTACTCCTGACTATTTGTCATACCCAAAAATATGGGAAATTGGTGACTGGTTATAGATTTATTGTCCCTGAACCTTTTCCTGGTCATATCCCAATTCATGTTGGAGTCTTACTTAACCATTCAGTGGGTTTTCACTCCCTGATTGTGGATAATGAAGTTCGACATGTCGGATGCCTATCTACATATTCCATCTCTCAGGCATCCTGGCATTTTTTTCTGTTTTGTTATCAAGGGCATGTTTTTCAGTTTCAAGCTCTAACATTTAGCCTGGCCTCAGCTCCTTATGCCTTCTGCCAAGTAGTCATGTCATTTGCTTGACCGCTTCATGCCAGATGCCTTTGTTTCCACCTTTACATGGACAACTGGCTACTTTTGGCTTCTTTTCAGGACGAATCTGCTGTTCATACTCAGTTTCTGTTTCCAGAGGCTGCCAGATTGGGTTGGTTCATCAAGGTGGGGAAGTAATTTCTCACACCCATACAATATGTGATTCATCTGGGTGCATTTTTCAAGTTCCTCATCTGTCGGGCCCAGCCTTCTCCTCAGCATTTACAGGATACAGCATGTCTCGTTTCACAGTCTATCAGCCTCTTCCTCTCCTACTGCATGAGAGATGCTATCTCTTTTAGGAATGTGGACTTTTCTGAAAGCCTTCATTCACTTTGGTTGTGCCCACATACATCACCTTCAGTGGGTGTACTTGACCAATGGAGCCTCTTTTGGGATCCCTTAGATGCTCCTAAGGTGTCTTGGGACTTGTGTGCTCAAACGGGTGTTCTGGATGTGGATGCTCTTGCCACACATCTTGATGCACAACTTTTTTGTCTCCTATTCCTCATCCTCTGACTCAAGCTGTAGATTCTCTCGGTCAATACTAGAAAGGATATTTACCTGTATGTATATCCTGCTATTCATCTTCTTCCCAGGGTTTTTTCATTGATTCAGACCACTCCATGATGTGTGCTCCTAGTGAATCCATTTTGGCCTGCCCAGATTTAGTTTCCACTTCTGCACAGACTTTTGGTGTTATTTCCCCTTCCTTTGCCATTTTCTTCCACCCTCCTTCGTCTACCTCAATCAGGCATGCATTATTCATCCATTCCCATTCTCTGGCTTCATGCAGTCTGGTCCCTTGCTATACAATCCAGATTTTATAGGAGCATTGCCTCACTACGGCAATTCCTTCATATTTTTTTGCCTTTTATGTTCACAACACAGTCATAAAAGAGCAAAGAGTATACCTGGATCAGATGTGGTGCAGTCTCCTGCTGTGGTGTGATATTTTCTTTTTTGGTTCCACATCTCATGGTCTCTCTTTGGATGCTTCCTAAAGGGCAATCATTTTTTTCACCAGTTCAATGTAGGATTTTAGGTATTTTGCGAGTAGAGGTAAGATATTGTATCAGGAGTTAAAATTTACCTAAACTGAAAATGTATTTCCGATAGATACCTCTTTTCACATTTCCCACCCAGTCTCCCCACTGGTGTAGGTCTTATGACCAGTCTTGAAGTGATTAATGAGCACAAATGTGGAGAGGCTGCTGGATACGATAGGGGTTGTGTAGTGCTCCTATTGGTGGAGAGCTGCTGCATTATCATTTACATGTGGATATGCAGAAGCAGGAGGTGGAAGACTAGTGGCAAGCATTGAAAATTTGCACAGATAGAGAGCAGTTCTAATCGAGAAAAACTATTTTGTGAGAGGGGTAATTATCTATTAAAAACACATTTTCTGTTTAAGAAAATTTTTAACTGTCATTCTTTCATATTATTCTTGTCAAGGAAAAAATGGCAGGATATTATTCTGATAATTTGAGACATTTTTAGAGCAATATGCATTAGCTTTTCAGGAAACTTTAGCTACCACCAAAAAATTAAAACTATCTTATAGTCCTTGGAAGATCTCTCATAGCATTTTCATATATTACTTGTGGGACATGTTTTCACTAGTAGGTAGAAAATAATTGGCTTAAATCAGGTGGTATTTGTACAGCCAGTCATCTTTGCTTTGATGGACTTTTAACTCTATCAACACGGACTCAGTCAATTTGATCAACCAAGTGACCGCTTTGTACTCATTTAAAGTCTTTATAGTTTTGATACTACTAACTTTCAATATAGTATGTGTATCTTCATAAAATTTGGCAGACTTTCAGTAAACATTATGAGTCTTTCACATACAAAAATCTTATTTTTTAGTGAAGTATTTTTAATAAACTAAAAATTAGATTTGTCTGTGAATGTATAAAGTATTTTTTTGACTAGTTCTAGTGCAAATTGATTCTCATGTTAAGATTAAAAATACTTTTCTTCATCTCAAAAATCTCAAATTTCACTTGCATAATCTCTAAAACCTCCTAAGTACATTTCAAATGTTTGTGTTCAGTAAAACTTTATATTTTATTTTCTGTACCCTAACTCTCTACAAGGTTGGTCAATTTGATCGACCTCGTAACCACCACAAAAAAAATTGAAATAAATTAAAATTACCCTTTTTTCTTTCTAGAATGACTTAAAATTGTAACATGAAACTACAATTGTTTATCCTAAGTAGTTTTAAATTTGTAACAGTATACATCTATTTATACTCACATTTTATTGTTTTATTGCTCTTTAGACCATGTATAATTACTATTTGAGCCATTATAAGTTGTAAATCACTTGAGGAACATGGAGCTCATTTTATGCTATGGAATTACATTACCTACGAGCTGCTCGCATGTGTGCCTTGAGAAACATTTTTATTATATTATTATTATTTATTTTACCTGTCTCCAAACACTAACCTAAAGAGATCCCTATTTTTACATTTTAGTTACTTTTATAATAATAAATAAAGAATAACCATAAAAAACAAGAAATAAAGTACTCACCCAGGTCTTCTTTTTAGTTTTGCTATCAATAACGCTTAACTCTACTTTTTTATACTAATGGTAGTAATGCTTTAAATGATTTTTATTTAATTAAATAATGCACCAAAGAACATAGAATAATAACATGCAAAAAGCAGACAATTTCCTCTAACTATCACAATTTTTCTGTCTTTCCGCCTATGAGACAAGAGCCATTACAAATTCATCCAAGCTAGACGTTGTCTTTCCTGTAGGAACGAAGCTTGTACTAACAGAGAAACTGACAATTTTCCATTCAGAAAACAACGTATTATAATATGTTATTTGGCAGATGAATACTTTGGCTTTCTATTGGTTATACATAATATAGAATTAAATGTAAGGGAGTTAATTAAGTTAATTAAACTTAACAAATCCTGAAAGAGGGGTTGTGACAGGTGGGTGTGGCAAGAGGGGTCTAATTTTCTATTTGATGGCTCTGAAACCAAACAAAATTGAAGGCTATAAAAATTGTGGTTTGAGCAATGATAATTTTATAGTGAGTAAAGGAGAGGGGGGTGCCTAGTGAAAATATGTCACATTTCTCACACTAAGGGAAATTCAGGATATTTTAAAATATTGCCTCATAAAATTAAGAACTTAAAACTTATATATTATTAAAATATGGATTATTAGCTATGATTTTATGTTATACTAATTGATATAACATAAACAAAAAGCAGTTTAAGTAAAATTTTGAATATAAGTCACTAAAACCTTGTGACATGTGCAGTAAATGATGCCCGACCAGAAAGGGTTGATAGGATATAGCCACTAACCTTCCATATTAATCTCTTTGGTCATACATCCCAATATATTAGGTTAGTGATATCTGCAAGGAACATGTTTTTTATGAATTTCCTTAAACTTGTTTTATTACCTTCAGTGGTATTTCCTAAATTAGCTTTCTTTCTTTTCTTTTTTTCTTAACATGTATGGTATTTGACTGTTCATGATATGGCAGGTATGTGTATTTGTAACCTCTTCATCTACTTTAGTAATGTTATCTTTGTTCTGTATTGTATAATTACTGTAGTTGCTCATAAAACATTATGAGTGTAAAGTTAACTTATGATTTTGTTTTTAAATTGTATATTTTCTAAGATATTTGCAGTATTCATATTGATGATGGTTTATAAAAAATGTTTCAGAGAACAAAAATATTTGTTGGACGTTTACCTGATAACTGTGACTCATCAGAGCTTCAGTTGCTGTTTGAAAAATATGGAAGTGTAACAGAATGTGATGTAATAAAGAAATATGGATTTGTGGTATGTTTTTCACACTTTTAAGTTGTGTATTGTGTAAGGAATATTATTCTGTTACATAAGGTTCAAACAAAGATTCACAATATTTATTGAAAATAAAAAAATGAGTGAGTCAATTTTATGGAATGTGACATGACCTAACTTAGATTTGAATAATCAGTGTTAGAGAATATAAAATTTTAGGTTTTGTTTGAATAGACTGAGATTTATTGAAAGTGTGCAACAACCAAGAATTTTATATGTGGAACCAAAACTGAAGCTAGACACTTGCTAGACAGATAAAGTTGAACAAAAAGATTGAGCTTAGTAAAATAAATCATGTCTTCAGTTGTTAAGCCTTATTTTTGATCCTTGAGTATACTATATTTTTAAAAAATATGCATATACAATACTTAAAAAAAATTGTGCAATCTCTTTCTTGATTAAGATGAATGCAATGAAATGTCATCCCTCATTTCAGTTCTCCAAACATTGTTGTCCATGAACTTTTGATCAAAAATAGTACCGGGTGAGCATGATAAATACAGAATAAGATATCAGCTTAATCCTGTACTGATATAAACATTGACAACATAGTTTTACAAAAATTTGACATGTTTTGAAGAACATTTTTAAAACTTCATGCAAGTATTATACATCACAGCCCTCTTTATCACCGTTTACCTAATACATACACACTTTGTTTTAGATAAATTGTATATCTTATGTATTCACTTTGGAAGAATGTCTTTGTAATAGCACTTTCAAATGATAAGTTAATGTTTTCTCAGGTGTGAGTGACTAACCTTGGAAGTTTTCTTCAATCCACCTAGACTATGTACATTTTAAAACACTCGTAAACTAAAAATATTAATTGATTAATCAAAACAATAATAAGAATTTGGCATTTAACTTTCTTAGAAACGCAACACAAATTTTCTATTTAAATTATGATAAATAAACCTATGAATATAATGCCAAATCACATTACTGAAAAACTCATAGTAGTAGTAGTAGTACAACCATGAGGAGTTAGCCAAATTGATGACTTTAGTTATTAAACAGTTGTGCAATTCCATTGTGTAATATATATATTTTTATAGGGTTTATTCCATGACTAATCATTAGCTGTTTCCATGTTGCACGTGTATAACTTTCTCAAATTGATGCCAGAAATTTTCTTATTCCATTCATTTAGATAGTAACATTAATACATTTTAAATTTTGGGTAATTTATGTACAGTATCACCTGAAACAACTGTTGCAAAGAGAACATACTGCATTCTAGAAAAAACAAAAAAAACAGCTGAAAGCCGTGTGAGTGAGCATGCTTGTCACATTTCTTACATAGGTGTGACTATATCTCAAGGCAGTGGCATATAGTATCTTGTGGAGCACTTAATTTAGCTATATAATTAATAGAATCATTTAAAAATACATATTTGTGGTCACTGATTTCTTTTAGTGAACAGCATATGCTGTATGTGCAAAATTACTTCAAAAGTTTACAGTGTTTTGAAATGTGAACAGGTGATGATTATTTATTTGTATAAATAAGCAATAAAATGTCTCATCTGAGCAGTAGTATGCAAAATATATTTATTAATTAATGTAAAAAGTGTAAGAAATTTTTTTAGGTAGTAATCATAAACATATTCTTAGTATTTATTTACAAGATGTTCACCTTCATGAGCATTGACATTTAATAATTCAATTTAATGAGCTGAATAAATTTGTCACTTCTAAAACAGCAAAGCTAAATATCACAATATTATTTTTTTTTACACTTTGTATTTTCTGTGATGCAATAATGATGTATAGTAGTAAACATTAACCATTCATATTAAACTTTGGACTATGTCAATTGCGATGCCACAGATTAAAAGACTAATAATTAAAGTTGAAAATAGTATGAAATAGAATCATTTGACTAATACTATTTATAATTTAATGAAATTAGAGGACTTAAAAGCCCTAAGAATTTAATTGCATTGAAACATTTCTGTAAACCATGTTCTTCACTAGTAAGAAGTTAACAATACAAATAAGTGACTTATTTTAAGTTGCTTGTTAATCCTTACCAATTGTACATGTTCTTCATTCTTAATGTGGAGCTAGTGTTGAATGTTCATTCAAGATGAAATACATCTTAACAAGTGACATGAGCTTGTTATGTATTTATACACGATACACTTTATAGATAATTAATTTCAAGGATACTGTATCAATTTTTAATTTCTTAAGTTTTTTGTTGAATGATATTTATATAGATGGACTTAACTGGTGATTAATAGCTTACTTTATTTAATATAATTGGTTTGAAAAAATGTCGAACTGGTTTTGCATTAGTGCTTTCAGAATTAGAGAACATTGTTTCAAGTGCTTTGGTATGTGTGTCATAACAATTTCTGATGCTTACATGAAAAGTAAATATATGTTATATAGTTTTTTGACATTATTTTTGAAATTTCACAAAAGTAATATTGTTGTTTTATAACCCTAAATTTGTGACCCAGATGGGATAAATCTGTGGTATATGACATAAAAAATATTTTGAATTTTCTGAAAGATATGCAAGAATGATAGCTGTGGATAAAGGCTTCCATTCTGTGAAGACAAAATGTCAGTATTTTTTCACTGGGGATTATTCAACATTATCTGTTATTTTCCACTTTCTGGTCAAACTTTGGTTGTTTTTTGTGTTCTATTTCCTGTTCTGAAACTTAGAAAACAAATGTAGAACACCATAGAAACATCATAAGATGATCCTATGCTTCCTATTACTTGTAAATGCAAAGTAAAAAGGTGTTTTTGATGTAATAAATGCAGTCAATGTTTATGTGACCATAATGGGATATCTGTTGAAAGAAAGGTATCAAAGAAAAGAGGGCAAAGATAGTTTTCAAAATAAACCAAAAAACTATAAGTGAAAAGAAGAAAGCTTCTTCTTCTCAAAAGTAAAAGATACCATTGTCTTGGATCTTAAAGATGGTGATTCAGGTTTTAATGAAGCTTAGCTTGAAGTTCATTCATTGTACCGTTTCCCAAGACATTTTGTTGTCATCTTGTATACTTTATCTGTTAGTACTCTTATTCAAATGGTAATTGTTTGGGTTGGAATATATTAAATTTCTGAGCAACATTACACTAAAAATAGAAATCGATCTACGTCAAAGAAGTCAACTTTAACAACCAGTTTGGAGGTTGTATCAGAATCAGTTTTGTGCTGGGTTTTGGACTTTTTAGAACCAAATCTAACAAAACAATGAAAAGTGAAAACTGAATTTTGTCAGATCTGGTTAACTTGCAGATTCATGGTTAAAAAATTCATGGATACAGATTTTTCATAAAAGTGGTTTTATGAGTCTAAGTAGAATATTTATACATTCTTCTAATGAATATTCAAAATGTATCAATGTTATCAGTCATTGAACTATATTTTATAAGTTAAAGTCATCACAAAGAAAGAGCTAAGCTAATACAAGGTACATGTTAAAAAAAACTATTAACTGTTACTTTGGAGTTGTTAAAAATATTGGTAACCAGTGACCACCAGAATTGTGAAAGTACTCGTCATTTATGAACCTTGATGTTCTGAAATTGATCTTTGGTGTTGTTTTATACAATATAAATTTTTTTACAGATTAAAATCATTCAGCTGGTATTAAAACATGAATGTATTTTATAAATTTTTTTGTTAGCACATGAGTTCACCAGAAGAAGCTGAAACAGCCATAAAAGAATTGAATAATTATAATTTAAGAGGATCAACCATAAGTGTTGAGGTAAGTTTTTGTGGTAAATTATTGCAGGCTTCAGAAAAAAAAACTTTTTAAATCATTACAATGGCAATTTCCCTTTACTAGTTTATAGTAGAAACTGAAATTTTCTGTAGAAACATATGGTTCATATTTTTTAATTGCTTATTTCTAACCTCTAAGACCATTGTTTGTAAGACTTAGACAAGTTAACAAGAGAATGTGTGTTTGTAATATGAGAGGGGGAGGTAAGTTATAATCACATGTATGAGTGGGTAGCACATGTGCCATACTAATAAGAAGAACTAGGATTGAATATTTGCTCTTTTAACCACATACAGTCCCTCTCAATATGTAATAAATGGAAAATTAGTAATTAATTAATCAGAATAAATGATCATATAATCTATTAATAATAATATTAATCAATATCTGATCACCATCAGCAATAACCTAGTTACTTTAAAAACCAATGATGCTTCTTCTGGGGCAGTTGTGAACGTGAATAACATTGCACAAATTTTAAAAAGAGAAGCTAATATGTAGTACTACATTTCAATATCAAATTTGAATCAAAATAAAACAAGTAATATCATTAATGGTAAAGCAAATATAATAATTTTAATGTGTTTTTTTTTGTATATATTTTTTAGATATTCTCTTGTGAAGGAAAACTTGTGCAAAGAGTGTAATAAGCAACCTTTCTTGTAAGAAAATCATTGTTAAGGAGGTTTCAAGATTACTCTTTGATTTTTAATAAATTGAGGACTGTGTCGTGAAGTTATTCTGGTGGCATAAAGATTCTATCCTTTTTCTAAATTTTACATCCGATAAGGTACTTCCTTATTCTCACAAGATTAGCTTTTATGCTGCCCTTTATATGTAAACTTTTTCAAAAATGCATGCCACAAACCTTCATCCTCCCTCTGTTGTCTCTCATGCAAATCATCGTGTGTCACCTCTCCACCAATAGGAGAGCACCACTATCACGTAATGCACGTTACTCCCTCTATGCATCACTACCGAACTATCACTTGTTGTTTGGCAGCTATTGAGTTCAGATGTTCTTTTTGATATTGTTCAGTTACTTTGAAGTGGTTTATTTTTTCACTTTGTGTATTTTTCTTAATTATATTTGCTACACTTCCCGGTTGTGGAGCTAATATTTTAATATAGCATTACTTTCTTGTGTTTCCTGCTTTAACCCGTTAAAGGATATGTCGTCACTCATTCGCAGGGAGATTGAACAGTATATGAGCCAACCTCTCTCTCTCTCTCTTTTACTTTGGCCCTACTTCCTCCTGAACCTTTTGGGACGAGCCAGGCTGAAATTGATTTTGGTCATTTGTCCCCCCCCCCCAATCGTGTGAGGTCAAGTTGAAGGGTCGTTTCGGGTTGGTTTCACAGTCGTGGGGGTTGAGTGCATGCGAAGGACTTCCCTTGGATTCCGATTGACACATTTCCTGGCATTAGGTTACCCTGTGAGTTCCTGGAGTAGAATGTTAGGTTCCTTCTTGACTTTGGGACTTGAGGTGAAGATGGTATGATACTCATCCTACCCTCGTGAGGATGTTGGTACCCAGCGAGTGAGGTTTTGGATTTAGTTGACTTACCAAGTACGGTCTATCACGGCCTAGCCACTCTACACCATGGGATACATCCTCACTTGCCCACTTTCCATCGTGGGATTGAGTGATTCTGATTTCTGTTTAAGATCACATTGCTAAACTATCCTCTCCCATGCGGATGTGCTCCCTTTAATGTTCCACCATGTCTGGTCCTCCTGGTGATGTCGATGTTCATGGCAAAGATATATCTGGCTCAAATGTGGTGCAGTACTGCTCCTCATATCATCTTATCTGTTCCTCTCATTTCATGGGTGTACTCCGGATGCTTCTGGGGGATACGCCTGTACTTCTCTCGCACCGGTCCCTCCTCCATATCAATGAGGGAGAGTACCTTATTGGAAGTTATAATTTTCCTAAATGGAAATATATTTCCAATGGGTACTTCTATCCTCTCGCACTTCCTACTCGTCCTCCTCTCAATCTTCCGGTGCTTGTGTCTTCTGCCAAAGTGATAATTCGGTAGTGGCGCATAGAGGGAGTATATGCATCACATGATACTGGTGCTCTCCTATTGCATGAGAGACATGTTGGAACTTTGGATTCCAACAGAGGAAGGATGAAGGCTTGTGGCATGCATTTTTGAAAAAGTTTGCATATAGAGAGCAGCATCTTGTGAGCATAGGGAAGTACCTATCGGAAATACATTTTCATTTAGAAAAATTATAACTTTTAATTGTAGCTTTTCAGAACACTGGAAAATGTTGATTTTAAGGCTACTAGTTGCATGTTTGAACTGTTTTACTACTTCATTCGTTAATACTTTTCTTTGTTGAAAAGTGATTATAGTATGCTATTGGCACTGACCTCCTCGTTCCTTTTGTCTGAAACGACCTAACTTCTAGTTTTCAGTTTGGAAGGATGAAAATATGGTTCCAGTAATGTATTAATGTCTTATAAGTTTCATTTTCTCTTTTTTTTCTTCTTTTCCATAGGGGGAATTGTTGCTTTGTTTATAAAACCTGTGGAGATTCTTTCAAGCTATTTAGAGTTCATGCTGGTTATTGTTCTTTATATAGTCTGAGCTCTAATTTCCTCTAAGAAATTAACCATAATAAAGAACTGTCCTAAGTTTATGGGTAATTTATAGTTTCTTTGGAGATTGTAGATGAAATAGATTCAGCGACATGTTATCTCTACTGATCTAATTTCTCTTTTTCTTTACCTTCAGTTTTTTTATCTTTTCCTGTTTTTGCATTTTATTTGTGGTTAGTCAATAGTATAGTGGTTATAATAAATTTGGATATGGAAATTGTCATTTTTAAGAATTGAAATGAAATTCAGTGAAGAATTTTCGTTATTACATTCTTGCCTCAACAAAAAGAACAGTCTGCATGGTATTTTGATATGGTAGAGGCAGTGGGTGATTGTTTGTTTGGCTAGGTTTCAATTTGCACCCAAAGACTACCATTTTAAATTGGCTTTATGGTGCAAGGTTATCTTTAGAATAAAACTTTCAGGACCAGGAATAGTCCAAAAGTAATAATAAATAGTGCTATTTACTGTTGGAAATATTTTGTGGTACCTGATCATATAATAAAAAACCTTTGACACATATAGTGAGAATAATATCAGTATATTAAGATCATTTATGTGATTTTTTTAAATGCTGTCCTGAAATCAAATAAATCTAATTGATGAAAAGTAGATGAATAATTGGAATTAATTTTTTGTATCTCTTTATTACTAGCCTTTCACTTTTTTTTTATAATTTAGTATCAGTTTTTCATTACAATTATAAGCTACTTTTGCTGTTTTTTATTCTTAATTTTTTCTGTACTTATAAATTACTGTCAATTAAGAGCATAAAATGTCTGTCCTCTCTATTTTTAATACAAAAAATTGAAAAAATCACAGAATATTTAGGAAATGTGGTTAACATTCTTACTGAAATATGCTGAAACTACTAATTTCTAAGTTTCTTTTAACATAAGTATCATAGTCTTTTGAATTCCCTATTAAAGAATGAAAATGCATTTAGATAAAAGTTTAGCTAATTTAGATCCAATGAGAATCAAATAAGAGTTTAAAACTTGGCGTATTTATGTTATCTATCCTACCTTCTAGCTTTAATTGCAAAAAATAATCTTATGTTTACATTGTATGTACATTTATATCTCTACGTTTTTATTAAGCCTTCCACAAGCAAGCTGCATCTAGAGCCTGGTGCCCCTGGGCGAGCCAAGACTGAAGGATCCACGTGGTTAGTGTTAATTTTAATTTTAGAGTGCTTTCGAATAAACAAGCTGTTTACAATGTTCAGCTTTGTATTTTCATTACCAGAAAATTGTTTTTATCATATTTAGTCAAGAAATGTTATTGGTTGTTATTCAATAGTTATGCATTGTAAAAGTCAGTAACTTATATTATTTCATTGTTCTAAAATTGTGCTGGCTTTTGTATTTTGTAATGTAAATGTATACTCTTAAAAAAGCCTAAAATAGTAATTTCAACTCAGGTAAGCTTACCTCTGAAATACTGAAAAGCTCTTCCTTGTTGAGTTTCAACTCATGTTGTCAGTAAAACATGACTAAAGGTTTCTAAATGGCCTTTATGTATTGCAGAACATTTATCACTTACCTATAATGCTTCATTCTCCCACCAACTACTTGACTTATTGTGGAAGCATACATAAGGGTATCCTACATAAGCTTTGCTTTCTTGCCATAATTTAGATTTCCTTATTAACAGTCATGCTGTTAACTTTGCTACAACATAATTTCTGAGGCAACTATTTCTGCCACTATCAAAATGTCTATAAGTTAGTTGGAGTAGGTGCTTTTGCAATTTGCCTGTAGCATACAGGATCAAATTGTAGCTGCAGTGTCATATCTGATGGTTCAAAGTATTTGTGTCATTGTATACTGATATTCCTGGAGGGTATAATAATTGTGTGGATGTTCAATGGGCAAAACACTTACTGTTTGCTTTTGTTTTTGGTGAAGAATATGTTGTTTAGACCCAGCTGGATTTGTAAGCTACAGTGCTAGCCCTAATCTTGATGATACTTCTACAGGCCTCATTTCTCTTTCCTCTCAGGCATATTATATAATTTCAATATTAAATCTATATCTATTACAACTGAGGGTGCTTGTATCATGTGAAATGAGTTCACTACTTAGTCTTTTATTTCTTACACATTCTCCTGATATTGATGATATAGATATTTTTCAAAACTAGCCCTGTATTCACACACTTCATATTCCTCTTCTACTCTATCTTCTCAAGGTTGTGACCCTGAGTTTGGTCCTTGGGAAGGAGGGGGAAAGATCTTTCACGAGGTATTGTCAGCTTTCTGTCCAGCATGCTATGGTTTGTCTTGTTTTGTTTGCCTTCTCATATGTTCCATTCTCAAATTATTCAGTTAGAGATTTGGACTGGTCCACATGAATGTCAGGAGTTTCTGCCCTTCTTACACCATTGCTGTGTTTTAGTACTCACAGACACTGATTATGGTGACATATGTCAACAAACAGGTTGGGACTTGATCTCATAGCCTTTGCCTCCTGTGGTTTCTTTGCATTTTTTTACTATACTCATATCATGTCTATCTTTGGGCTGATATTTCATTGGCTGTGCAAACAGTACAGTTGACCTATGCTTGAGCCTGACTTGTGAATTTTTTTTTACTATTCTTCAATTTCTTTTTCCGGTATTGCCCAAGATCAGTTGGTCCTATTGTCCAGTTGTTCTTATTGCCCCATATTGGCCTGCTCCATCATGGTTTACACTTCTCTTACCTGTCTCAGAAGGAACCTATTCTATTATTTTTTGGTAGATCTTCCAAATGATGTTTGTTTTCTACAGCTTCATGGCAGGTTGTTATGCAGTCATTTGTTAGTGAAGCTGGTTTCTCTTTCTTGGGTAACTTCAGTGCTGTCACATTCTTGCAGATGTTCTTTTTTGGCAGTATACCAATCTCATTAATCTATCTTTAGGAGTTGATGCTTTTGGAATTTGGTTTCTAGTCTTTCTCTAACTCGTTAACGACTTGACTCATTCTTTTCATATACATCTTTCATGATCAAGGCTTGTCTGTTTCTATTGCAGACTACAGAACTGCTTTTTCAGCCAGTTTCAGTTGCCACAAAAATCATGTACCTCTGTCAGTCCCACTTTTTTTTCTGGTTCTTTTTTTTAATTTTTCTATTATTTTTCGCACTAGTACCTAGACATTTTTCTCAGTAGTAGTATTTAAGTCTGGTCTTGTTATCTGGCTTCTCCTTTTGAATCTTTTGCAACTTGTTTACCATTTTTCCATGAAGACATGTTTTGTTACTTGCTTCACGGAGGAACATTCAGATATTTTTGCCATTGATGTTTCCCATTCTCCTTTCTTTTTTTTCCAGGAATGATCACTAGTGAATTTTCTCATATTGTATTATCTACTTTGACTGATTCTGATTCTCTGTTTAATGAATGTTTTCTATGTTTAGTCAGAGCTGTTTGTTCATATTTTGTAAAAAAAAGGAAATTTTTTTTTGAGGTAAATGAGTCGACTGTTTATACCCTTTGATAATTTTCTTACTACAGATCTTGCTTCTTCCAAATTAATGAATTGGTTTGTGCAGCTGATCCATCTTTTTCATCATGATGTTGCTTACTGCCTTAAGTGTAGATTTCAGGTTACATCTTGTCACACCTGTTATTTTGCAGTGTTCTTCTAGTTTCTGTACTCTTTAATAGATGTCTTATAGGCTGGCATGGAGATGAGTGTTCATACTTTTTGGCTTTTATTTTACTTTAAATACATCATTGTATCTTCATTTTTCAGGACTCCATTTGCTCCTTTGGTTATTCTTCAGACTGTAGGGAACCCAACTCTCGTTAGTTTTTTGTATATTCTGCTCAACACCCATTGTTAACCATTTCCATCATGTCTGAGATTGTGAATAATTTTCACTTCAAAACAAACAATACAAGAAAGATACAATAATTAAATTAAATCTTATCTTATGTATTGGGAATTGGTACACTCAGGACTCTCACATATTTATTATTAAACCTTTGCATTTATCCTAGGCAACCCATGTATTTATGTATTGTCCAACACCCCTGTTCACAAATTTAGGGGTGTCTGAAGTTGTGAAATTTTATATCTGGTGTCCCTATTTAAGGAACAACTGTGTATGGATTTGTCAAACAGAGACTTTCTTTTGTCAAATATACTTATGTGTTTGTCCTAGACAAACTTCCACCCTCTATGCTGAAGCTCCATGAGAAAGTGTTGCCCTTTGGAAGTGGACAGAGGGTGCCATCTGGTGACTGATGACACCTTAGCAGGTACCTTTCCCATCTCCATGTGCATGTCCTTGCATAGCATTAGAGGTGTCAGAAACAGTACTACTATTGTCACTAGATGTCTCAGCTTTAACCCTAATGGAAATCACCTGTGCTTTATGCTTTTTTATTTATATTTTAACGTTCCCATTGCACTGTCCTCAGATTGTTGAGCCCATCCTTCTGCCTTCTGACTGCTTGGGTCTTTCTTTGGTTCTTCCTAACTACCTACTAATTTGGCCAGTTATGTGACACACATCTTTAACAGTAATGAAAAGGGGCTACTGTCTTTCGAATACATCCTTTCATAACACGTGTCTAGACTGCTCTCCCAAGAACCTTCCATTTCAGGAGCAGGACATATTATTCCTCTTACTTGTTTATGCTACCACCTGTGTCCCATTGTTGAGTCCACAGGTTCAATACTCCCTTGATTCCAGTGTTTCAAATTATTTTCTGATTCTTGATTTTACTCATACTCTCCTTGGCTACATATTTCTTGTAGTTTAGATTATTATCTTCCTGCTCTTTAGCTTGTAGTTTTTAATTTTCAGTTTCATTTCATGTTCATCTGTTCGTACCTCCTTTAAAATGTGGGTGTTCTGGTTTTCAGTATTTCAGAGGTAAGTCTAACTGATTTTAATTTTATGTCTTTAGAATTATAATGAATTTCAAACATGTACTTAACTTTGAAATACCTTCCCTCTTACTCCCCACAACTTTTCATCATCACCTCAACTGTCAATATAAACCTAAATTGTGGTGGGAAGACAGAGCTTTAAAAACATGTAAGATCCCTTGATGCTTTGGCAATAAATCAAGTGGAGATTGGAGAATTATGGATAAGTTATGAATACTCTGCAATGTGTAAAGGACATTTGGAAATTTTTAGTTATCTGTTTTGTTCACAGCACAAGTAACTCAGTAAGATAAGTACCTGTTTGAAATTCATTTTAATTCTAAAGATGTGAAATTTAACTCTGCCTGGGATGTATAAAAAAATGTGCACTTGGTTACATGGTTAAAGCTTTTTTAATTGTTTGTTAAAGTGTTTTTTTTTTTCACTCTGATGTGAACCACTTTATTGTCTATTTGAGGTCTATAGATTAAGAATTTTCATAATTTACAAAATTATACATATGCCACATTTTGCTTAATGAGGTATGCATGAGACTGCCTTACCCCAATTTTTCACCTTGTTTTTTAATTCTGGGATGATAGTGAATAATCAGTGAGACAGGCTTTTAACATTACCGTTGACATGTGGGTGTTAATATTTCTCAAATTTTTTGGTAATTGGCAAAATATTTATATATATATTTTTTTAATGTAGGTTATCAAACAAATCAATTAAACAAATACTTTTATAGACATGGCAATCTTTAGCTACCTGTAATCAAGTTAAAGATCCACCAATCGTCGTAAAGGAGAACATCTTGAAAGATGATTTTCAGTTTTTCTGTAATGAAAATAGGTTTTAAATTCCTAGTTTTTTTCAGTCAAAACTGGAAACTTTCAATCTAAAAATTTTTTTGTATTATAGTTTTACAGCTCAGTCTTCACGTGAAATAGCTTACCTTAGATTTTATTCATTTCGATGTATGACTAGAAATTTTTAGTACTTGTATTTCACAATATACCCTCAATATTTACTACATGATTAAATTTAAGCAGGTTAGAATTACGACATGTTTTAAAAGTTAGCAGAATGAATTAGTCCTAATAACAACATGGAGTAGTTTAAATGAATGAAACAGGTCTGCTTTAAATTGTAAATTAAATGATACTTCAATTAATCATAGTATTAACATTTGTGGTATTACATATCTAGCATATACACAGGTTTTGTTGAAGATTCTAATTCTGCAAATGAATTTCTTCTTTCTTTTTTTTTTTACAGAACTTTACAAGTTTGAAGAATATTTAAAGGTTAAATAGATAAATTAGACGGGTACATTCAGTATGTTGCAATGTACTTGGTATAACAGTATTAATATTTTAGGTCACCAACTTACCTACAGAATACCAAACAATGTCAAAATGTAGTTCTGATACATTCTGTTCCATTACAACTTTATATTGGCTGTGATTGTCACGTGACTTGCTGATTTCCATATCAGCAATAGTTTTATATAATGTACTCAACCCTATGTAGTAGAACAAACCATTTATTACCAGATTAATATTGACACTGTAAAAAAAAAATCACTAAACATTCATAAAATTGTAACTGTAGGAAAGTCAGTTTAATTTCTGCTCATGCAGCTATGTACTAATTAAAGAGTATATAATAACACCCATCATTAAACAAAAGGATGGAAATATCTTTTTGAGATTTTTTCAGCACTAGCGAGCAATTTTAGTACCAAGCTATTAAATCTAAAGTACATTATTACCTGGATTATTTAAAATTAATATTTGAATATTTAAACTATAAGCATTAAACTGATATATTTTAGCACTATTGGGCCTGGAACTTTTATATCATTGCTTTGTATACCTTTTTGTTTCTTGTAGGTATGGAAGATCAAGAAATGGTTATGTACCAAGAGATTATTATATGGACAGATACTATGAAGATTACAGACAAGATTCTTACTATCGACCTCGGCCCTATTCATCTTTGTATGACAGGCGTCCACCACCGCCACCACCACCACCACCTCATATTCCATACAGAGATGACCTCTATAGAGACTATAGAGATGAGTCGCAGTGGAGTTCACTGACTTCATCTCGAGATAGCTCATACAGAAGATCTTTGCCACCGCCACCTCCTAGGGATGATCCATATCCTAGAAGGATACCACCTCCTCCACCTCTTGATGATGATGATATGTATGATGGCCGTGAGTCATCAGATTATCTTTATTCAAGACGTTCCCCTACAGCCATGTTTTCATCTACTTACAGGTTGATTGTGATTTAAATTGAAAAAATTAAATGATACATCAAAAATATCTGTAATCTTCTTTTAATTGCTGTAATTACTAAAATTACTAGTTTTCTTATGTTTGTATTTTGAACACTATCTTGATGTGCAATTCCCATGTAAAGTAGTGAGAATTCATGTTTAACTTAGTCACCTTTGACTTGTACCAAATATAGCAAAACTATATAACTAAAAGATAAGATTCTATTCTTACCATAATTGTGTAGATTAATGAGCATAGGCTGATACATTTACACAAGAGTTAACTAATTTAACCATCACTGTTATTTCCTTTTGTCATTAAACTGAAACCATTTTAACAATTAAAGTGAGATCACTTTAACAATTCAAAGATTGCTACAATGAGTAATTTATTAATTGGTCAACTTAAAATATTTGTTAAAAGGTAAGAAGAAGTTAAAAAATTAATACGGTCATTCTCAGTTACTGAGAAATAAAGAAGAAATACTTCCGTTCTGAATGAACATTTTATTCTTTGTACACCAATATAGTTAAATTAGAAAAATGTTAAACAATTTGTGTGAGTAATTATTTATATAGAATCCAGTTGAAATTACTGCATTAATACTAATTTTTTTACCCACATGACCATAAGAATTGTTATTAAAATATATGATAAAAATCATCATTTAAGGTTAAAGTATGTCATTGTTTTTGGAATATGTTACCAAATTACTTTCAGATACTAGCTAAATAGTTTAGAAGAGTTGTTCATGAAAGTAAGACATAAAAATTAACAAATTGACTTATTTTGGAGCTTTGTAAAATACTGGGAAATAAGAACAATGTCTGCTCTTATTGTAGGTCCTCAAGTATTTGGTGAGAGAAGATATTGAAAACATTTACTGCAAAAAAGGTAATGTACAACAATACTTCAATAAACAAATTAATAATTATGTGTTTTGAAGTTTGATGAACACTGTTTTGTATAACTAGCTGGTATATACTGTAGTACAGATTATCCATAAGTTATTAAACCACATTCTTAATTGAAAGAATAGGAACCACTGAGTTAGGTAGGAGTATGTGTAGGACATTGTTCACAGGCTTGAGTATGATATATTAAATCTATTTTGAATATGCATATCAACAAGTCATGTGACAGCGACAACCATTATGAAGTAATGGTGGAATGGCATGTATTAGAACTACATTTTGGCATTTTGTAGGCAGTGTGATTCCACCAAAAATTAATAGCTTTTGGTATGTAAGAGCCATTTCTAATTCAAAATATACATGCACTCAGATCAGGAATTTAGAATTTTGTAGATATTTAATGGCACTGGAAAAATAAAAGATATATGGATCAACTTGCAACAAGTCATATTCAGCTGTGGCATTTTGTAACACTTGAGAACTCATGGATACAAAGAACAGTGGCAAAAGCTATCCATATGTCTTAGGTAACAGTATGCAACATAATTAAGAAGGATGTCTGTATAGAAAAGCAATGCAAGCTGCTTCCACTACATATGTATTCAAGATTCACATATCTCAAGCAACTGGGGAATGAAATGAGCATTTATGCTGTTCATGAAGGCATACTGGTCAAGTTGTTTGCCACAGAACCTACAGATTTCTGTGTGATCAGTGGTAAAATGGATGCTGGGAAACTGTTGTCCTTGTACATTACTGCTTGACTTATAGAAAACAAGAAGAGAGTAGGGGTATGCTTTTGATGAAGCCATTTGCTGTAGAAATTACACTGTCATCACACAGTTGTCAGATAGACCGTGACAGGATTTAGTGAGGCTCCAAAATAATTATGCAACTACTTGACCTCTGTATTTATTGATAACAAAAGTTATGATAATATTAGAAAAGATGGAAAAATGTTCAGTAAAATTCACTAATTATAATAATAGTTAAACTCTAAATAGTTGAGGCTGTTACACTTGCAGGGAAGAAGTAACAAACGTTAGAATATTTAAAGAAATATTTCAGATTCCTTATTGCATTGTTTTTTAAACTGTGGGTGTGCCCCTTTTAGCAGGAGAGCCCCAAAATACAGATGGAAGAAACAGAAGAGTTTGAGACAATGATAACCTAAAACTGTCACTTTGCTCCTCCATTTACTCACTCCTTACAAACATTTTTTCATTTTAAAAAGATGATTAAAAACAGGTAAAGAAAATGTTGATTTTGCTGTTATCACTTGTGAAAATAATTTTTATGTGAAAGAGAGGGTGCAATGGAAACCTTACTGGGTTAAGAGGGTGCCAGTATTTAAAGTTTGGAAAACACTGCCCTAGTGGAAATAAAACATTTTTTATTAATTAGACATTTTCTTTAAAGAAGAAAAACTTAGATACTTCACTAGACTTATATAAAATTGTTCTTAATCCTTTGTGAAAGATTAGTTATTTACAATAATATTTTCTGCATTGAGGGCATATTACATTTCGAGAAAGATCCACAAGGGATATTGTTGGCAACTAGCATTGAATAGTGAAGCATTTGTTTTCAGAACGAATAGGAAAAAAATGGGTATATTACATTTTGTTAGAGTTATCGTTTTAAATGTTGACCCTCTTATGAATATGATTTATAAATTAAATGCATAATTAAAGTTTTTTGTACACCATTTTTTGTCTATATGATATTCTTCAAAATAACTTCTTCATTTTAGTCAAATTTTGTATCTTGCTTAGAAATATAATCTTGTGCTACACAGTTACTTTAGTTTTGATTTGCATTATTACTTTCATCTTTCTGCTGTTACCTTTTTACCTGAAGGACCTTTTTGTTTAGTGAAACTTGATATTATTAATGTTGATTAAAACAGATTATTGAAAAAGATTTGATGAAATTTAACAGTAGTAGTAGTTGTTTGATGGTCTACTTTTAAGAAAGTTCAAAAACCTTCTGAATAATCAATTAGATCTATTTCATTCTCAATGCACACCTTGAAAACTAATTACAATTGGTATTAGGAAGAGCTACTTTTTTGCTTGACATTTTATTGTGTATTAAATTTGTATATTTTAAATGAACTGGTTTTGAATTTGATTAATAAATTAACATGAGTTATCAAAAGAGGGTAAAAGGTTTCCATGTGGAAATGCACCTTTCATGAAATTAACAAAAACGTATAAAACAATGGGAAGAGTAAATTATCAAAGTGTGCTTTAGTGCACTGTTCCTGAACCATCAGTTCATGGGATTTCACAAAAACAAAAAATACTGAAAGAATATTCATATGTAATCATAATGGTTTTTCATTGTATTTGAATTTTAGTGGTACATGACAGTTTAGGGAGGCATGGAGCTGGTCCCTGGTGTTGAAAATGTCAATAAATGTTGCTTTAGTGTCATCCTTATAAACTCAAAACAACTCTTGGTTTAATGTTTAACTTTTGTGAAGACATAACGGATGTCATTTTTTCCACTTAAGTAATCACCCCATCTCCAAACAATACAATAAACACCTCCTGTTAGACAGATAAGTCATTAGGGAGTTTTTCATGCCATTATTTGAAAATAAAATAAATGTAAAATCACTCTGAAAGTGGTATCTTCATATAGAATTCTTTTTACAAAAAACAAACTTAAATAATGATTTTGTACTTTTTTGTGGATTATGAAAGTATTGTGCATTGCTAGTTTAAAAAAAATGCTTTTACATTCAAATTTATAGTAAATATGATGAAATCTAAAGATCATTTTTCTTTTTGCAGTATTGCTGTTTCAACTTCAGCTCTTGCATTAAGTTATTTTTCTACTGTTCTATTCATGTCTTATTTTTAGATATTTCATATTAACTAATAATATGATATTAAAAAACATTTGGGAATAATTTTCTTTTTGAATCTATACTTTTAACAAGTTTATTTCATCACTTATTCTGAACATTATTAATTATAGGCATAATGATTACTGTTAACAATTTAAGTTTTACTCATAAAATTATACCATACACTCAGTCAGTTCTATTTTTGTAGTGTCACCGCCTCAACTTCCATTATGAAGATTCTTCATTTCAAAATGTATGCTGACCATGTTGTCTTGTCATATTGGGTATTGAAAATTGCTGTAGAAGCAACCCATCTCTGTGTCAACAACCTAAATATCAGGATTAGTTGTATTTTTTGATGAAATGTTACCTATTTTGCATTTAAAATATATTTCAATTTCACCACTAGGCACTTTAATTAGGAAATTATGACAATAATTAACTCTTACTGTACAAAAGCGTTCTATTAGAAACTGTTATTGTTTCTCATAATCAAGTACTGTACTTGTAGCCTGTTATTTTTTCTATAAACAACTTTGTTTTATTGTTGTGTTTATGTAGAGTATGACTTTTTGGTATTGCATTTTTTTTTTCCCCAATTATGCCCTATTTTTGTATATGATAATTGGTACAGTTTTAAAACTTGTATGAATAAGACTTCAGTAGTGCTTTTGTCTCAATAAAGCTCACTGTCCTGCTGTGGCAAATGTTGTATTTTAGTTACATTTTCTTCTTTTACTTCTTAAGCTTAAGAATCTCACAAAATGCTATTTGGCATCATGAATTTGTAATACACACATCCACAAATGGAAAAATTATAGTTAGGCTTAGTAAGTCTCAAATTTGAGAATTTGTATATTTGTTGTAAAAGTTCAAAGTTACCATTCATGACAAGGTTATTCAAGTCAAGAGAATAATGCTTCTACAGTTTATACAAAATCGTTTGGAAAGTATTTTCATTTGTTTAATTATATAAAGTTGAAATAAAGAAATACATACATCATTGTAGGAATTGTCCCTTAAGCTAGAATTACGAGAAATTACATATTTCTAAAGTATTTATGCACCAAATTTCTTATTGATTCGAGACTTTGTTGATTAAAGGATCCCTAATGACATATAATTCATACAAAATATTTTAACACAAATGCTACCATTAATATTGTAAATGATCCCATTAATTACTGTTAGGGTTTCCTATATATTTTACATAGAAAATGAGAGACTTCACCTGATGTTTTTACTCAGTTCTTTACACTGAGTGTTAATTGTGACAGACAGTAACATAAAATTACTCAATATGATGTTATATGTGAATTACACCAGTAAATGATATAAAAAGAACTGTCAATAATTTGAGGATTAAGGCACAAAGCAAATTATGTGTATTAAGAGACTAACACAAAAAAAGCATTCATTCTCTCTCTGGAAACCCTGTATTTAAATGTTAGTAAATATATATATATATTACACAAGACAAATGTGTTGACTGCTGTGTGTATCCATGGACATGTTTTTGAAATTGATGTAAGTAGAAATATATATGTACGTATGAAAATCTAACCATATGATTATAAAGATATTGAATAAAACAGAGGACATTTTATCTAGCATTACTGTTCTGAATATTTGTGTTGTAATAATGTTTTTTAGTATTACTATTTTTGTGCTCTAAGTTTAGCTTAGTTAATTTAATTATATTTTCAATTCAAGAAGCAATGGTGTTGTATAGGCTTGCTGCTTTGATATAAGTCTCCATTAAATGAACAAGAAACTTTCTTTGTTCTTGTTCAGCAAACTCAAATGATTTTCAAAGTAATGATACCCACAGTTCATACTATTTGTTTAAAAATAACAACACTTGAAATCAGGTAGGGCTTTATATTTAAGTGTTTCTGGCAAACAGCACAAGGGTACTTATATATTATTCTCAAATGTTTTAGAGCTGGAAAAATAGTTTAATGTGAAGTTTTGTAGGCTTGCTTTTGGTTGGAAAATACATGAGTTTAAATGTATCCAAACAGTTTGACTAGTTTCATATTTAAGCACTGACATTCCTTATTCTGGGGCATACTACAAGATCAAATCAGGGAGCAGTCACTTAGTTAATAAAGTTCAGCAAACAGCTCTATATTAGCCCATCTTTAATATTCTTAAGTTCACTGTAAAACATATCCATACCAAGTAGTAATTCTGAAGTCAATTGAGTAAGGTATAAACTAGGAAATTAGGTTATTGAAACAAAACTACCAAATTGTTTCAACTGTAAACTTCACAAAAAGAAAGGTTCATACCCTGAGGTTGTTAGTATTTCTTTTCTCTCTTTTTTTTTATGGTTCAAACAATTATCTTTATTTTGTCTAAGTAAAATTTTGTAAACACGTGAAAAAATTTCATTAATTGAAAGCAATGCTGGGCTGATTAAAACCTAATTAGAAATATCATATTAACCAAGGCTTCAAAAAAATGATCCATGCTTTGTATGTCTGTGCAAAAGTTGCACTGATGTACTTCCTTTAGATACACCCTCAATGTTGCACATTTCAAAACTTGAACGTCTTGTATGTTTCATTACCGGAGCAACTTGACCTTTTTTAACTTGTAGAATGATCTTACTGCCATAGGAAGATACAAGTTGTTACAGCCTTTGTCGCTCTACAAGAATCCTAATGATGGTGATATCATTGAATTTAAATATATTCCTACCATAAAGTATAGTATGCCATAAGACCGCCATTGTTATTTAATGGTTTTTAATGTTCAAATAAAAAACAGCGGGAAACATTCTATTCTTGTTTTCAATTTTTCAAAATTAATCCTTTATAAATCCTTACAAAGTATGTTTATGGTTCTTTTTTTACTAAGCCATTAGGAATCTCAATATTAACAAGAAGATGGTTAAATTATGTAAATATTGTTAATCGTGAGGTTGTAACCGTAAATCATAAGACCGTGTTATGTGTTGTAAATATCTTTATTGAAGATTGTACCTTACTAAACTATAAACCTTACTACACCACATCAGTAGTGTAATATAAAAAGAAGTGCCAATAATTTAAAAGTTAAAACACAAATTGCATTTTAAGAACTGATTTCATACGGATGCAAGGTCAGGCCTGCTTCAAAATCTATGACAAGGAGATCCCTGTGCGCTAGAGAAAACAACAGATTATGATGGGAATGTACCAAGGAAGTCATACTAGGCTTAGTTTGAAATTTCCAGAGTGAATGAGTGGGAAAAAAATATATATAAATATAATAGTACTGTCTGCTGTATGTCCATGTAACTACTTCACAGGGTGTGGATGGATCTTCACCAAAATTAGTATGGAGGTTCATTAGGTCCATGCGGGGGTACATACAAGTTTGCGGTTGTTATGAGCGTTTTTTACCACTACTTTCACCACCCTGTTGATGAATCTTCACCAAATTGGGCATGAAGATTTATTGGGTCCATGCGGAGATACATGCAAAGTTGCGGTTTCACATATTGTGTTTTGCAGTTTTTATGTGTTTTTTTTACATTTACATATAAAGGAAGCAACTTTTCATGTCCTAAAATAACCTTTCATTAATCATTAATTTACATAACTTCCGCCCAAGAGACGGGTACTCCAGCTAGTTAACAATATTGTTAAAAGCTGTATTTGCAATGTTGTAATTCGTTTTAGATTTCAGGTAGTGGGCACATGACGTTAAGTTCAAGTTAGTCCTAGAAATACCTAGAATAAATATAGATTATAAATATTACGACCAGTGAAGCATCAAGGAAATGTAGTAATACATAGTTAACAGGGTAAGAACTTTTCCAAGAGAGAGAGTTGAATCAATTAATGTGATTCCGTGAAGTATTTAGACAGTGTCGTAGCCAGGATGCACACATTGAGGGTGCAATGACAAACTTAAAAGGGCGCGAGTACATTGTAATCATTTTCAGTTTTCATTATAAATTTTTGTTATAATTTATTTATGTTCCTTATTAATTCATAAGCGAATTCACTCATGAAAAATATTTGATATCCGACAACAAGAGCTTAAGTTAGGTATGAACTGGTAGGTTAATCAAAAAAGAAAGCAAGAAGTCAGTCTCAGAGAAAGTTGATTGGACCCTTGTAATTAATTAAAGCAATGTAAACCAAGTCCAATTTTTTTTATTAAAACAACTGTAATCATCTATTCTGAATAGAATTGAAGTCTCTCAATATCTTATGCATCCCATCAACACTCTGACATATATCATCAAGGATGCACTTCTCAAACCCGATGAGGGTCAAGTTCGCCAGTCCTTCATGAGACATCGACTGACGGAGGTCTGTAAGTACATTTGTTAGAGCAGAAAAAACACTTTCACATGTTGCAGTTGACGATCCAATTGTTAATGCTGCCTCATTCTGTAATGGCTGGAAAGCCCTTCGAGCTCAAACGGAAAAGCTGTTGCAAAACAGACACCAGGTTATATTTGTCGTTTTTTTTTACAGTGGTCACTGATGTGATTTTGGCAACATCGATTTGAGCCAAACAAAGCTGTCCATTTCAAGGCCGAACAAGTCTGCGAGGAATCTCATTCGGTCTTTGTCAAAGAAATGTTCTGATTCGGGATATAGTGACTCCAAGGCACGAATAAGATGCGAATTATTCTCTGAGAAACGTTCTTCAAGCTCAACCAAGATACTGTTACGTCTCCGTTTGTTAATTGATT